CACGAGGTACTCATGTGTATGTGGGACAACTTGGGACCAGAATAGCTTCCCCTCCTGGCTGATCAACGTGTGAATAAATCTGCCTTAGACAAAAATAACCTCTGGACCTTTTATCACTCCTTCCTGCAATATGCTTGAGGGGGGGAAGCCAGAAAGAGGCTGAGATCTGGTCAGTGAGTACAGCTGCCAGGCACTGGATTACAGGGGAGATTAACTGGATGTTTGAGGGTGTAAACTTTGTACCAGCCCATCTTTCTCCTCACTGTCTGCAACCCCTGGCACCAAAAGTTCTTGGATAGGGAATAGCACCAGGCACCACCAGGAAGATTAAGGGCTTGGGATCAGGTTTACGACACATATGTTAATGCCTTGGCAAGGCTATAAACACCCTTCCTCATTTTGGAAACCTGAAAGGCCAGGCTTAGCAGGAGAGCCTCCATCCCAGGATGCAGCACACTCACAAGGCTTCTGAAGAGGTAAGAAATGGGGGAGCATTACGGCTGAGCATCGCTCCTTTCCTACAATCCCACTGCCCAGCCCAGCCCTTGCCTCTTGGCTACTGAACCTTCTGGGCACCACAGTGCATTTATTCTGCCCCAGCACATTATCCACATCTCAAACGATGATAGCAGGAAAGGTAAAACCCATCTGTAATTATGAAGACGATTCATTCCTACCGAGAAGGGGTGAAAACCAAAGCTTTGACCCAGCAGATGAACAGCAATGTGGGACAGATCCCTTCTCCCCCACTGGCCCATAGTACCCAGCCACTGCTTCTCTCTCCTGGATGCTGAATGCCCTCCTTGCTGCACGTTCCCATTCAGAGGAACCAGCTGCACACTGCTGAGGAGGTTGCAGTGCAGGGAGGCACCGCATCAGGCAGCAAAACGCCCTGGGAACTGCCCTCTCCTGGAAATCATTTGCAATGGGCAGGATGAGGAAAAAGAGCTCTCATTTGTCACTTATTTTCTTCCTTTTTTTTTTTTAAATGCAATTAAAGGCAGCCACCCAGCCGGTGCATCCTTACGCCTGCTAACAGAAGCGTGGAAGAAATTGAAAAATGGGAACTGGAAAAAAAAATCTGCATTTCAGATAAATTCCAGCCTTGCCAGTCCTGCAGGATTACTGCACTGGAGGCAGCAACCTGTGAGCTGATTTAAAACACCAGAATGGAGATTTGGGGAAGGAAAGGCAATTTTGAAGAGATACAGTCAGGCCCTTCATGCCTTTGGAGAAGTTTTGGCACCCAGTTCCAGGATGCCTCCACCTGTAGGACAGAAACCACTGCACTGTGGTGCAGCACAGCTCTGCACAGAAATGACAGAGATGAAAACCCACTTCATCCCTTTGTGTGTCCTCACCATGCAACCTAAACTGATGGCTTTACAGTGTCCCCACAAGCATTTCAACCTGCTTGACCACAGAACAAACCAAATTAAAATCCAATTATATCAGCACAACTCTCCTAATGGCAAAGGGCTCTGAATCATTTCACTACTTCACAGCCTGCACTGATGCCGGAAAGTCATCCTTGCATCTGAGCATCACCAGGCACCTGCTCTTGCAGATCCCTGACAAATCTCCAGGAAGATCCTGGACATCAGTCCCACCTCCCAGCCATCACCCTCCTGAGATGCCCACAGGGATGTGTGTGTTGGAGCACCATCAAGAGCAGTGAGACCCATGACTCCCAGAGCACTGGAGCCACACAGACACCAGCTTTCCATCTCTACAGGCAGCACCACAAGCAAGAAGCTCCTGGACCACACAGGCACAACCATCCAGGTACCAAACTCCAGTTGACACCTTGCCTCTGTACCAGCTCGCAGTGCAGTGCTATGGTGTCAAACCCACCAGGAGAACCTCATTCTAGCATATAAGCAGATGGTGGAAAATGAGCTTAAGTGAATGTTTTGCCAGCACCTACTTGGCCAAAACTGGGGCGTCCCCAGAAGGTTTTGTACAGCTTTAACAAAACCTATCTTCCTAAGCCAATTGCGGTTATAATGATGCAATTTGGGGGATAAACGAGGCCCTGAAGGGCTGGTGTTATTCAGGAGGAAATCACAGTGTCTGGAGGCAGCTTGCCATGGCTGTACTGAGACAGCATTGGCTGACAGGAGAATAGGAACCAGTGTGAGAACAGCTGGAGGCAGGCAGGCTGGCTGGATGCTCACTGGGTTGATCCAACCCCAGGTTTGGAGAACATCCACCCGGTGCAGAGCTCAGGACCATCCCTGTGAGCTTCCCCATGAGCTGGTCCAGCTCCAGGCTCAGTGCTGGGTGGATGCTTGAGGGCTGATTCAGACCGGAGTGGATGCTTGCAGACTGGAGACAACACTGAGGGAGGCAGGAGGACGTGGCACACAGAAATCGGAGCAGAAGGCCACAGGTAAGGACTGGTCTCATCAGGATGTCCACCCATAATGGAAAATGGGAGCCAGGGGTGCAAAGCTTGGGACCACAGTGGAGGGCTGCTTGGGGCAGAAGGCAGCTGGGAAAGGAAAGAACCCCCCCTCACCACTCCAGGGTTATAGGAATCTCTGCCCCCCCCAAAACCTTGCAGCTTGGAGGAGGTCTGGCCACCTCTTTACCCCTCCTGCCCACACATCCAGTGGGGATCAGGCAGCCCCCATCTGTGGGGGGCACAGCAATCCCTGGGCTCAGATTCCTGGCCTATGGGCGATGTCTATGGACAGAAGATCCCGAAGGTGAGGATGACACCCCCAGACTCCGATTCCATCCAAGAGAAACAGGGATGCTCAGCACATCCCTGACTCACAGACCCCCTCCAAGCGGCAACGGGGTGGAACAAAGCTCCCCCAGACGCAGCACTCTCTCCCGCACAGCCCCTGGAGGCAGCGCATCCCCACCTGCCACGGCGAGGCAGAACACCCCCAGTCCAACCCCACCGGGTGTAACAGCGGGGAGCGAATCCCGGTCGGCCCAGCCCCAGGAGGGATGCAGAGCATCCTTCGGGATGGCAAAACGAGGAGAGCCCCTCCGGACAGCTCCACAGGATGGAGGATGCAGAATGGAGGCTGAGCATCCCCTGCCCGGCCCCGCGGATAGCTGAGCATCCCCCGGGGCGGCGTGGGCCCGGCCCCGCCCGCACTCACCGAGCGCCGAAGTCGCTGGAAGCCGCCGCCGCCGCCGCCGCTGCCTCCCGCCGCCCGCCCCGCCCCTGCGTCGCCGTCCCCGCCTGGCCACGCCCCCTCCCGCCACGCCCTGTCCTGGCCACGCCCCTCCCTCATGTGGTGGGGGGTCGAGGTGGGGTCCTGGGGGCCAGTGTTACCCCTGAGAGGGCAAAAAGCGCACTTGTGGGGCAGGAACTTCCATGGGCAAGGATCTTCTTGAAGGGGCAGGAACTTTCCCGGGGGCAGGAGCCCCCTGTGGGGCAGCAAACTTCCTCGGGGAGCAGGAACTTCCTTGGGGGTAGCAGCCCCTACAGCAGGAAGGATCCTATAGCAGGATGAAGTCCAGAGGCCTCATCCATCCCTATGGGGAGCGAGGCAGGAGCAGACTCAGGCTGTGGGGTGAAGGGCAGCTGTGCCCTGGGTGCACCTTTCCCCACCCTTACCAGGAATAAAGAAAGTGTAACACACCCCAGCACTGTGCCCAACAAACCCAGCACATGTAGGCTTCATTAGAAGGTAAGCAATTAATCTGGGGCTTCTTAAACCACAGGCTGCTCCTTCAACTCTTGCACGGCCTTCAGCATCCTCTGGGACATCCCTCGCCTGTTCCATCACAGAGCCCTCAGCGATGCAGCACTTTGGTATCACTGCAGTGAAGCACTGCTTCCTGTGCCTCATCGGATTTGTGCAGGGACACGGAGCTCATTCTGTGATATTTTTGCTGGGAAATCTCAGAAAATAAATGCCACCGATGTTATCAACCTGTTGGATGAGCAGCTGTGCTGGGCACACCTGGAAACAGCCATCTTTGCATGTCTATTGTCCCATGCTGGTAAAACTTCCTCTATTTCCCATATGCCAGAGTCACCCAATAAGAACTCTATTTTTAAAAAATACTGTGATACAGTTCTCAAATATCAGCGATGACTCTCATAGTCCAAAACATTTTCAAGTATCTATGCAACCAAAGAGGCGGGTAAAGCTATTAGTGTCAGGATCTAGCTGCATTAATTGCTGTTCTCTCTAATTCATATCAGTTGATCCAAACCTAGACGAATACAATTAGAAACAGCGTTTTTGTCAAGGATTGAACTTTCTTGTCCGGAATAGACAAGACTTTTCTATTGCCAGGTTTTTTGCTGGTAAAATACTCTCATTATATTTTAAGATACTCTGAGATGACGAAATGCACTGGGCTGTGCAGTGTCCACTGGGATGGTGCTGAGGATGCTGGGGCTGGGACTGAACTTGTGCTTTCCTTCCAAGCCCATGCTGCAGGACAGCCGTGTAAATGCAGGTCAGGGAGAGCATGTGGACTCCCAGTCCGACTGATTGGACAACCAGTGATGTCCAACAGGATCCTCCAGTAGGAATCTCAACTCTTCACGGCACCTTTATGACTCCTTAACCAGGAGGTGGCATCACCAAGGACTGACAATTCAGCACGGTCCTAAAAGAAATAGGAAAAGCAGCCGAGTGCCAGCTCGTACCCATTGCCAGACCCACAGGAGCTGGGTGGGGTCAGTGCGGGCTGAGGTGCCTGGCAACGCACAGGGGCTGTGAACAGACATGGGATGGCTCAGCTGCAACCTCCTGGACGGTGGGGGACCCCAGTGTGGAGGTGGCGGGGCAGGGCGCTCACAGGGCCGTGGCTCTGGGGCATCCCACAGGGCTGTGGGCAGAAAGGACCGGTTACCGAGCGCCAGTTACTCCAGAGCTTAACCCGCTACTCCATTTACATATCCCCGTTACTGACACCACGACGCAAGGGCGCGGCGCACAGAGATGACGTCACGCTCTCGCGAGGCTCTGCGAGAGGTAGCGCTTTCCCCGCGGCGCCGCGGCGGCCCCGGGCGGGACGGGCCGGACATGGCCCCGCGCGGCCGCCCCGAAGCCGCCGCCATGCCCAAACGGGGCGCCCGCAAACGCCTCAAGTTCCGTGCCGACGACGTCTGCTCCGAACGCGGTGAGGATGCGGGGCGGGGATGGAGGGGAGCGAGGCCGTGCGAGGGGACGGGCCTAGCGGGCCCTGCGGCCTGGCCCGGGAGCGGAGGGGCTCGGAGGTGGGAGCGTTAAGGCTGTGCGTGAGGGGAGGCGAGGCTCCTCAGCTGGTGCTGCGCGGCCGGCGGGTGGGGAGCGGCGGGTTGGGCCGGCTGGGCTGCTGCGAGGAGCAGCGAGGGGTTTGTGTGGGCTGGGCATAGGGAGAACTGCTCCGTGCTGGACGGCGATGGCCGTCCGTGCCTGTGGTGGAAGCCTGCGGGGCTGCCGGGGCTGCTTTTGCTGCGTGCTTTCTCCTCGGCTCTGTCCCCGTGCAGCGTCCTCCTTGAGAAGGGATCGCACCTGTTAGACCTCCTCTCTCCCCTCCCTGTAAGCTGTAATCCCCTGTCGCCCTGTCTCTTGACTCTCCTGCAGTGACGGTGGCAGATTATGCGAACTCAGACCCGGCTGTCGTGAAATCTGGACGGGTGAAGAAAGCTGTGGCCAACGCAGTGCAGCAGGAAGGTGAGCATTGTGTGTAGGGAGCCTGCCCTGCCAGCCGGCATGCGGGAAGGCTGCCCCCCATCCCACCAGCCTCTGTGCTGTGGGGCGCCTCTTTCATCTCCATGGTCTGAGAAAACAGTTTGGTTTGATGACTGAAGATGAGTCTGCATTTTTCTGTGGGATTATTCAGATCTTAGACAGGATTTTTGCAGAATTCCAGCTGCAAGTCCAGCAAGAACTTCAGAGTCTTTCCTGCTGCCTTAAATCAAAGAGTTTTTTTCTTTTTTAATATGGAATGTTATCTCCTGCTTGAAGCAAAAAAAAAACCAACCCACCAACTACAACCCACAGAACGAGAGTCTTTATGGCTACATTACCTCATACAGAACTGTAGATAAATTTACTACCAGATAAAACTATTTGAAATTAGAATAATGGAATGATGTTAGCTCTGATAAATTGTGCTGCAGGCTGCAGTGAGATCTTTTGAGAGTATTGCTGTTGTTTAGTTGTAAGCTGTATAAGCAAGCAGTTTCCTGAGCAGCTATTGCAGTACTTTGTTCTCTACTTCCTTGGCTTTTAGCTGCTGAGAGTAATGGGAACATTCTGGGCTAACTCACCCTGCTTGCTCAAGAGCTGTTAGTATTTAGGATTTGACTCCTAAGTGGAACTGGTCTGACACGTGGAATTGGTTGGAGGTGGATGTTATTATGTGGACAGTGACTGCTGTAAAGAGGTGCTCTTTGCACTGTGAAGTTGTACAGGATAGCAATGCCACTCAGTTTTCCTTTCTAGTCACTGCTCAAGCTTTTCAGATCAGGGCACCTTCCATTCTTTGTTCAAAGCTGGAGGCTTCCCTCTCCCTGTTTTGTTTCCTGTTCAGTCTTACACAGACTCTCCATTTGAGGCAATGCCTCCCACTGCTGCACTTCAGCTTCACAGCAAACTGTAACATCTTTCCCTTCTTGCCCCCACTCTGAGTCCATGCACTGCTTGCCCTGTGCAGTTTAACCCTTCTCCTAAAATCCAGCATCCCGTTGCTGGTTCACCTTCTTGCTGCTCAGATGACTGCAGATCACAGCGATTCCCTGCAGAACTGCTGGGGTTTCACCCTTCTGATGAACTGATCCTCAGGCTCTGTCCTTATCAGCCCCAAGCTGTTCTACAGCCTTATCTGTCGTGGTCGTGACCGTGGGGCACCCTGACAACCAGCAGCAGGAAGGAGATGGCCTCTGCCTGGGGAACTTTGGCCTCGCTCTCCTCCTACCTTGCTGGTTCTCAAACATTGCCCTGCCCATGGCTGCCAGGAGGCAGGGAGGGGAGCAAAGGCCAGGTGGAATTTTCCTGAGCATTTATCTGTTCCTTCCTAACCCGCAGGGACAAGGTGGGGGTGGCTGCTGTGAGATGAATGGGATGGAATCTCTTTGGCAAGGTTACGATGCAGCGTGACTCAGTGTGAACAGCCTTGCTGAGCTTTCCTTCCTAGAGTGTGACTGCCTTTTTCTGAACCCTTCCCTGAGTCTTGATCAGTTGTCATCTCTTGCTTGGCTGTATTTGATGTCACAACTGTCATGTGTTGCCATCTGCTTCTATTTGGTTTTGCCTGCATAAGGTTGTATGTAGAGGTGAGTGCTGTTACAGAGCGAGGGATATCATTGCCACAAATGCATACAGTTTACAAAGTAAATTGTGCAAAATATGGTGGAGCTCATTTGGCAGAGCACTGCAGTTCTGTGATGTGGCCAGAAACCAAGTGATGCAGTCCCTCTTCCTAAACTGCTCAAGCTCTGTCTTAAGACTTCGTTTCCATCTGCTCTGTTATCATTTCACAACCTTGCTGTGTGGTTAAGAAATGAGGAAAATCTCTAGCCTAGGTTTATTTGTAATCAGTACTTAATGATTTTTTTTTTTTCTGCCACTTCTTGCTCTCTGCTGGCTGTATCTGCAATATGTAAAACCTTCCAGGGGTTTCCTTTGCTAGGCTAGAAAAGTGTGAGCAGCACAGATCTCCTTCGAGGGAGCCAAATGCCTCTTGATAGAGGTGCTTTTCTTCATCCAAGCAAATTCTGTTGAAATTCAACTTTCTTGAATGCACGTGGCCCCAAATTTTAGACTGTTTGCAGAGTGCTTGTAATGCTGTTATGCTGGTTCCTCTGTGTCTGTGCCTTGCTCAGCCGTAACACAGGACTGCACCTTTCTTTTTTAAGACTCCTGTTATTGCCTCACATGTGACTTTTTCTGCCCCAGTGAGTCTTCAGTTTACAGTAAAATATTTCCTAACTGTGAAGTGTTTGAACATCTCCCCAGAGGCAGCAAAAGAAATTCTGTCTTCGCTTGCTGTTGCTCATTAGGCCCTTCAATAAAATCTGAAGTGGAGCTTGTGTACTTGGCTCTGAGTTCCGTTGCTGATGGATTGCTTGTCTTCAGCCGCAGGATCTCTTTGTCCTGCTGAGAAGGAAGTACACTTCCAGTGTTCTGAGGACAATCAGAGCATGGGTGCTGGCTTTATGCAGGCTGAGCAGTGGTCAGACAGGGATGCTGTGGTATGCAGGGCAGCCAGTTGGTGCTGCACAAGAAGCAGTGGTGTTTTATTCAAAGTCATAAACAGCTTCAGGGAAACCAGTAGATCATCCTCATTGTTCCTTCCTTGAAACAGTAGGCTGTTGTTTCTAAGTCACTCACCTGTGCTAATCTTGCTCTAAGAAGGTAATCCCAGGGCTTAGGGTTTCCATGCGTCACCAGGAGACTTTAATGCAGTTATGTTGCTTCTTAGCAGTGGCTCTGGTTCCCCTGAAGTATCTCCTGAGCTTGAATCATCTGTTTCTGTCTATCTCCTGGCATACTTATCGTGTCATTGCTTGTCATTCTAGTAAAATCCCTCTGTGGTTTGGAAGCTTCTTGTGTTCCTTCTGAGGAAGTTCTCTCCATGTCAGGAGAGTCTTGTGACAGCAGTGATGAAATGGATACAAAGGAAAGTATCAGTGGGCGAACTGCATCCAGAAAAAAGAAGAGCAAAAGACACAAAGGTATGTTCACCAGCCTCTCCTGGGTGCTGTGTGTGGGTTTCTTCAATTAACGACTGCTGTTTGCAGGTTAAACCTGCAGCTTCAGGGCATCCTGTAATTTGTATTTTAAAATATAAATCATAATAATGCGAAGGATTGAATCACTTTGCCCCATTTCTCCCAGGAACCTGCTGTGACTCAGTCACACGTGTTGTCTTTTCACTGAGGCCGAGCTTTGGGTATGAAATCAGAGCCAAAGAGCTTGCTGCTTTCAGCAGTCTTCTCTCAGCCTTGGAAAATTAATGCTGCTTATGAGAAGAGTTGTGAAACTTTGCCATGGGACGTGTGTTACAGTTCTTGCTTGAAAGCATGCAGGTGAAGGCAGAGTTTGCTTTAGGAAAAAACAAACCAACAAAAACAAACGGACATTGATGCCCATGTTGTGTCTGTTGGTGGAATCCAGGCTCTGTTGGTTCCTGGTACTGAAGTTTAACTGTTAGTATTGATGGCAGTTTGATATCCAGGGCTGTGTGCACAGCTCTGCTCTGGGGTCATTGTGGGCAAATCAATCTGTAGGTAAGTGAGCACATCCAGAACCTCCCTTGGCAGTAGTGAGCTTCCTCCTTTCAGCCCATCTTATTCTTTCTATCTGCCGCTCTGCACACTTGTGCAAGCTGTGCAGCAGTGATAAATGATGGCACCTGTCCAGCAGTGTGAAGTGAAATTGTCTCAGACTTGTTTACGTGACTGCGTTTACATCCCTGTTGCAGTTACCCATGCTAACAGCACTACAGCATAGGCCTCCAGCTGTGAATTGGTGAAGAAGTTCTTTATTACGCTAATGTACCTTGATTGCATTTAGAAAATCCTGATGGTGATGGTGGAGAGGAATACCCCATTGATATCTGGCTGCTGTTGGCTTCCTACATTCGCCCTGAGGACATTGTCCGGTTCTCTTTGATTTGCAAGAAAGCTTGGACTGTTACTTGCACTGCTGCCTTTTGGACCAGACTCTACAGAAGGTGAGACTCTAGAGAATGGCTTAACTATTCTGAGAGACTGCAGCCATGGCTGGCTTTCTGTAGAGCTGTAAGTAAGAGAACACTTCCCTATGGTCTGGGGAGCTTAATATTTAGATGTTGAAATGATGCTGTGGGCCTCATTTGGGGAGGAGTTGTGGTGTGTTGCACCTGCTTTGACTGTGGGAAAGGATCTGTCTGTGGCGTGTTCCCATGTGCTTTCTATAAGATCTCAAAGCTTTGTGCACTTTTCTGCTTGCTGGAGCCTACATACTCCTGTTCACAAGTGGAAGCACTTACAGTAAAGTCACTGCTTTACCTTAAAGACAGGCAATCACCACTGACAGAAACCTGGCCCTGCCTCAAGCTTTCATCATAGTCACCTTTGTGTACTTAGGATGGCATGAAAGTAGCTAATGCATTTAGGAGCTGTCTCAGGAGCAGAAGTAAGCTTTAAATGAAGTACAAGAAGAGAAAGAGTATCAGCATCCAGAACAAATCCTCCTGTCCTTGCACCTCTCACTTGAACTTTCCTTCAGGACAGAATGTTTTCTCTATTGGAGAAGAGAAGGCTCTGGGGAGATCTGTGTGATCTTCAGTACTTATGGGGAGCTTGCAAACAGGAGGGAAATAAATCCAATTTTTTACTCACTTAGATAGCGATAGGACAAGGGGGAATGATTCAAACTGAAAGAAGGGAGGTTTAAGTTGTATGTTAGGAAGAAATTCTTCACTTGGAGGGTGGTGAGATGCTGGAGTGCTGCCCAGAGAAGCTGTGGATGTCCCACCCCTGGAGGCCAGGCATGATGGGGTCTGGGCAGTCTGATCTAGGGGCTGGCAGTCCTCACCACAGCAAGGGGGTTGGAAATAGATGATCTCTGATGTCCTTATAAGTGATAAGGTGTATATAAGTATAGAGCAAACCACAGCTATGGGTGTCCCTGTCTGTTTTTTCAGTGTGAAGTTCCCTAGCAGGTGCTTCCTTGGCGTGTTCTCTCTGATCAGAGTAGCTCTCGAGCCCAGGCATCCAGGCCGTTCAGGCATTTGTAAGCATGCAGCTTAGCTGAAGTGGGTCCTGGGGAACTTGAATGCACCTGCAGGCCTTTACATAACCCACAACTAAAATATCATTTGCTCTGTCTGGGCAAACAGCCTGCAAGGGAGCTAGTGGGGAGCTGCAGCATCGTGTGTCCGCGTTGTGTTGGAGGCGGTACAGAAACCCTCACGCACTCCGAGTTGCCAACGGGATCAATCAGGTGTTTGCTTTTCTCTCAGTGCTGATCACCTCTCTCTCTCTCCTGCATGTCTCTGCCGTTCAGACTCCTTAGTTTGAGTTGGGTTTGTCGTTGGTTTTCAGGCACTACAGTCTGGATGCATACCTGCCCCTCCGCTTGCGGCCCGAGTCCATGGAGAAGCTGCACTGCCTCCGTGCGTGCGTCATCCGGTCGCTGTACCACATGTATGAGCCTTTTGCATCTCGAGTCTCCAGGAACCCAGCTATTCCAGACAGTACTCCCAGCACTTTAAAGAATTCCAGAGTAAGTGGGATCCTGAGGAAAAGTGGGATGTCTGAGGTGCTCCTTGGCTGTTTTCTCCTTCTGGAAGAAAAATAGGTGGTGTTTAAAATCAGAGGAGAGCTGAGGTTGGAAGGAACGTTGAAAGATAGCCGAGTCCAAACTTCTGTGTGAGGGTTGGGGTGAGAATTAGCTCAGACTGGTAACGTTTAATAGCGTGGTGCTTATCTGTCTCTGTGCAGTTCCTCCTGCAGAGCATTTTAGTTACTCTTCTGGTTGCTTCGGTCCTACTGCAACAGCTTTAGAATCAGCAGAAAGGCACTCGTTTCACTGAACATGAAAACTGTTGGGGATATTTGAAGCTCTTCCCTCCTCTGTTGCAAATGTGTTGCTGAAAGGAGGCTGCAGGAGGGACAGTTTTTATATTCTCAGCTTTATTCAGATGCTGCCAGAATGCATCTTCTCTCCATAGCAGGCATCTGAAGAGATCAGAAGCAATGTTAACAGCCACTGAAAGGGAATCATTTTAGACTCCATTCCTGTAGTTCGTGCTTCGTCTTTGGTTTCTGAGGAGGGGAAGGCAGTGATGTTGTGAGCATGGCAGATGTGCAGTGAACGACTGCTGTAGGACTGGGCTGCAGCTGTGTTGGGCTGGGAGAGGTTTGTCACTGGTGGGGACAGGCAGCTTCCCTTCATCTTGCAGCTTGGGGCCCTTGTGCATCCATCCCTCTTTAATCACTGCTGATCATTAATTTGGAAATGCCCGTGTTTCTTGTTTGGTTTTACCTCACAGCTGGCTGTACTTTGTGAACAGCTTAAGCAGCAGTGTGAATTCTCCATCCTCCAAATGAACAAACTTACTGAATGAGCTTTTTGAAGATGAACTGCTGTGGCTTTGTTTCAACAGTTTGTTTTCCATGCAGAATAGAGCTACCCATCTATCTGTGTGCAGCATTGCTTCTTTCTTCCTTCCTCTCCCTGGACAAAAATGTTGTACTGCTGAGAGGGAGCGTTGTGCAGTAACACAAGCAGATGGTGCTGCAGAGCAGGAGAAAAGCATTTAATTCTGTGTCAGAGTTCTGTGTCAGAAGTCTGCATCCAGAGCTGTTTATTCTCAATTTCCCAGCTTACATGTCATCTTTCTTAAACTAAACAGCAGAATAGTTCTAGGAAATGCCCACTTAGCCATAGTCCTTCAGTCTCACTTCTTAGTGTTTCCCCTGCTGCTCAGATACGTGGTGTGGCTGTGAGGGGTGAGGTGGTGCTGGCAGGATTTTGGGAGCGTTCGTGTTGACATCATAACGGCTTTGGTGCCCACTGCTGATGCTTCTACTGCACTTCAGTTTGAAGATAGTTCTTGAAGTGCAGTCTTTCGTTGTTCAGGTCTTAAAAAAGGAAATTAAAGGATGATGAGGCTTTGCTTAGGACAGCAGAGATCTGACCTGACCCCCTGGAGCACTAAGGAGCCATCACAAGGCTGGTCTTGCTGTGCTACTGCACTGCAAGACAGTGAGCTCCACACGTGTGTTACTGTGCACTGAAATGTCAAAGCACAGTGGGTATGGAGGAGGGTCTGACACTTCCTTCCCATGTTCTTGCTTTCATGGGCTTTGGTTATACCTCTATGGGTCACTGAAAATAATGGCAGATTCTTACTTAAGCTGCATGTGGCAAGAGGAGACTCCAGTCCTCCGCGTTATCAAATCCAGCTTTTCCTCTTTAATTTCCTTTTTTCTTTCCCTAGCCTAGCTTGTGTGGGACACTGGAGCTGTTATGGTGTCAGCAGAAGTGTTTGCCCTTTAAAGACATCCCCCATTATTTTTGGTGGAGCAGCAGGCCGTACGGCGCGTCTGAAGGGCAGGACGGCTGACCCGTGGACAACATCCTCTGCCCCTTAGGAGGTACTGACCATTTTGTGCTTCACTACTTGCAAGTTGCTAGACCAGGCCGTCTGTGCAGGTGAACTACAAATAGCACTGATGGCAGAGTTAAACTGAGATAAGAAAGATCTGGAGAATGTTTTTATTGGCAAAACGTGAGGGCTGCCTCCTCTCCTCCCACGTGGAGGTTGGTTACTTGATGTGTGTTTCTGAAATTGGCTGCTTTGGTCACCTCATGAGGACTGTGGAGGTAAGGGTCCCTAATGAGTCTTGCTTATGGATGTGACTCGGAGTTGAGGTAGGGGTCCCTCATCACCTCTGGTCTCTAATTACAGAGGTCCTGTGGTGGATGATGGCTCTGGCTTTGATTCATTCAGGGTTCCACTGTGCTGGATTTACATTAGGTGTGAGCTTCCCAGAGTGACCCAGTCAGGCCTTCTTGGTGTGCAAGAAGTGGTGTATGGATCATGAGGAGTTGTCTTTACCAATGCTGTTCTTTCTTTACGTGCTGACACTGTTAGAAGGACCAGGTAAGACCAGCAGTGGTGGGCTGGCATCTGTGCTGTGGAAACCGTGGTGTGTTGATTTGCCAGGTTCTCTTGGTGGCTGTTGAAGGATAGTTGCTTCTGCCTGTTGGTAGGCAGTGAAATTTCCCCCTCCTCTTTTTAGTTCAGGAGTTCTGCTGAGACTCCTGCTGGAACTGGTGCTGTGTGCTGGGATAGATCCTGGGACCATACTATGATAACTGGATTAAACTGGAGCACGGTGCTGCTTACCTCTGCTGCAGGAGGCCTTTTTCTCATTTCCTTCTAAAACATGAGCAGTAGGTTGCTCAAACTGTGCTAACTTGGCAGTGTTTTTATGCTCTGCAGTACAACAGTCAGTGCCTAGTGATGTCAGGACCTTCTTTTGACTCTGAAGCGGCTTCGGAGCTTTCACATCTGTCACCCTGAGGGTCACACATCATTCTTGGCATTTCCCTTTGGATTCTCTCCTTCCTGATCCTTATTCGAAGTTGTTCCTTTTTGCTCAGTCTTGTTTGGAGTCTGATTTATTGGGACTTCTTGGTGGGTGAGGGAAACAGGCGAATCTGTACCGCTCACCTCTGCCTTATGGAAGGGATGGATTGTTGAGAGCTTTCTGTTCAGTGCATCAGTGGCTGTAAGTTGCATCATCCTTTTGTGTGATAAGTTGGTCAGCAGTTGGAGACCGAAGTGCTGGGTGTGTTCTTTGGTAATAATTAATTTGAGTAAATGGCTCTGACTGCTCTGTAATTGTGTTTGTAATGGGGAGTCTCAGCATTTTGCTGTAACTTATTGAAAGTGATTCCTCCGCAGGTTTCATGGTTTTTGTTTCTTTTTTTCCACCTCAGTGTCTGCTTTTCTGGTGCAAAAAGATTGAAGGGAACAGACAAGAAGCAATGTGGGAATTCAACTTCAAGTTCAAAAAGCAGGTATGGAAACTCAGCAGTTGTGGAAGAAGAACCACAATGGCTGTGAGTTTTTTGGAGAAGTAATGATTTTCCTGTGTGGTGGAAAGGAGTGAGGAAACACTTTTATGGGGTCAGACATCAAATGAAAACTGAATCCTTTGGTAAAACTGAAACATGGCCTGAAACTGCTCTCAGTTTTCAGTCTGTATCACTGAGATGTTTGGAATCTTGTGTATTTATTTTTGGTGTTTCTTTGCTCGTTGCTCCACTGTAAGACGTGGATTGTTTTTCACCCCAAATCATGTAATCTTTGCATTGTGGCTCCTGACTATCACCAGAAAACAGACTGAATAACTGATCAAACAGTCCACATCTGAAACTGCTTTACATTGGAAAGATTTCCATGAGAAGTGAAGGAGTGCCTGCTAATGGAGAGCCTTCATGAGTGGTTCTCAGGCTGCTTAAGGCCCCCTTAGGAATTCTGCAGCATTCCTATGTGAGGAAATAGTCCTTCAGATTCTTTGTCCTGAGGGCTGGCTTTCTGTTGTTCAGTAGCACTGCGCAGTGTGTGGGGATGCTCTGCGAACCTCCTGGGCAGCGCTGGTCTGAAGAAACCAAACTCATCACAGATTCCTGCTTAGCTGACTGTCTCTCTTTCTTTCAAGTCTCCCAGATTTAAGAGCAAATGTTCCAAAGGTCTTCAGCCACCTATTCAGTATGAAGAAGTCCATACAAACCCTGACCAGGATTGCTGTCTTCTGCAGATCACCACCTTTAACTTCATATTCGTGCCAATAGTCATGGGTATGACGTTTACCTTGGTAAGTGCTGGACATATCTACCACCCAATCTTTGCACGTGAAGGGGGAGGGAGAGCTCTTCTGTGCTGTGTAAATAGCACTGCTCCATCACTCAACCAGCTGTGGAAACCTCAGAGAGAATTATCACAGAGGTTGCTAACAGTCTCCTCAGTTAAGCTTCTGCAGATCTCTCGGCTCTTCTCTACTGGATGCAGGAGATGTGGTTTGTGCAGAGCTTCTGTGAGAAGCTGAGCTGTGTGTGTGCAGCAGCTGGGAGCAGAATAGTCACTACCCAATGGGGGAACAGGAGGTGGGATGCAGGAAAATGGAATCCCTTCTTGCCTGAAGGCAGCAAATTCTGAGAGCAAAACGTGTTTGACCAAAGTTGTGCAGTGTGTCTTCAATCCTTGACTGCTTGGAAAAACAGCAGCTTTTGAATTAACCCCCAGAAGCTCAGCTCCATACAGAGCTGTGGTGTTAGAGAGCAGCACAGCAGCTGTGCTAACACACAGGACAGCATGTGTGTCTGTGCTTGAAGTCTGAGAGGTTCTTTCGGGTGTCACCAGTTCTCTTATTTGGGGCTTCCAGCCACAGGGAACTGGTTTGGAGTTAACCATTGCAGCGCCTGCTGTAACACCAAGAAGTAATTTTGATCCCCAGAGTCAGCGATCAGTCTGCAGTCGCGCTTACCTGGAAACAAATGCATGTTTCTGCACGTCTGCCTCCTCCAGCACCTCCGTGTCTCTCTCTTGCAGTTCACCATCAACGTGAGCACAGACATGAGGCATCATCGCGTGCGGCTGCTCTTCCAGGACGCCCCTGTTCACAATGGCAAGAAGCCACGACTCGACCAAGGAGTGCAGGTGGTGCTGGACCCCGTGCACAGCGTCCGGCTGCTGGATTGGTGGCACCCTCAGTACCCCTTCTCCCCAAAAGCTTAGTGCTCCCTGCACCGCAGCAGTGACCCGTCTGGCAGGCTGAAGGAAATTCCCAGGAACCAGGAAATCCTATTATTTTTCTTAAATAAATTCTGCAGCCTCCTTGAGAGAGTGGTTGAAGCTACTGAGCTGGTGTGTATGTATATAACTTCTGGTCGGTGTTGAGCAGAGCTGAGTGTAAAGCAGAAACTATTTGTAAAACACTTTTATGTAAAATTCACGTTTTATGATTTGAAAGGAGCTCCCTGGAACTGTTCATTTAAAATCCTTTTGGTGCTAATGGAAGTGGTCGTGTTTTCTGTTCTTCAGGAAGAAGTGGGAAGTTTTGCTTTCCAGCTTGGACGTGACCAGAAACAATTCACAAATGAAGTCCCTGCTCTTTTGGTTTTTTGTTTTTTTACTGGCACAATTGCATTCAAATGCAGTGTGATATTTCAGTGTCTGAGGAGCAGTAAGCAAAGCAGCAGTGTTACAAGAATGCTGATTCACAGTCCGTGGTTGCAGATGTTGGTTTTTTTTAAGGCATAAACAATCAAAGGAGTTATTTCAAAGAGGATTTGTAAGGCAAAGGTTCTTGAATGTAAAGATATTCCAAATTCTCACAGTGATGTTCTCCTTTGAAAAGAAGATCAAGATTTCTAAAAGCAGGTTTTTCAGAGAAGACAAACAGGGAGAGGTGATGCAGGTTGTGAACTAAAGCTACTGGAGCAGTTGTGAAGGACTCAGGTCTGGGCTTTTTGTTCAGACCATGGAGCAGCATTGGCCTGTGGGCACCAGAAAGCCCTGGAGCAGACAGAGATGTGATTATTAACAGACAAAATAATTGTCATGAGGAAGAAGCAGCCCCAGAACTCTGCAGCTGCAGTGGCTCTGGATTATTTGTCAGCATCACAGAGCTCCCCTACTTGGAAGGGACCCACAAACCTTATCCAGTCCAACTCCAGGCTTCACCAGGACCAGCCAGAGTCCAAACCATTCAGACATTAAGCGGAATGGCCCAGGCTCCTTCAACTGCAGCAGCTTAGGGCTGTGCTCCCTGCCCTGGGCTGCCTGTTCCATGCCCACCCCCCTCTGGTGGGGAACCTTTCCTTAGCCCCCACCTGACCCTCCCCTGGCACAGCTCTGTGCCGTCCCCAGAGCGAAAAGATGTGTGAGAAGGAAGTGGTGCTGAGTGTGGGTCTGATGGCAGTGCAGTCTGCTGTGTCCAGAGTGAACTGAGAAGGAAATCCAGCAGGTTTCACCTCACTGCTGACAGATGCAGCGGGCAGAGGACGTGCTGGAGTGCAGGTGAGCAACTGGAGGTAGTAACTAACCCTGATCTGAGTGTTAACATCAGGTCTCGTCTCAAGCAGGAGTAACTGAGCACTTCCTTGCTGCTGGCCAGCTGTCCTGTTTGGCAAAGGTTTTGGAAAACAGTGACTGGGAGGAGGGAGAGTTCAATTTAATAAGCAAATGCCCCACAGTCTCCACACAGCTGCCTGGCAAGTTTCTTGTATGCATTTCCACCGCCATGTAAATCACCACCAAGGGCATCTGAACCCAAACGTGGATCTGTGTTAGACTCTGTGATGTTGACTTCAAATACGTTTGAGAAAACTCCAGGTTCTGTTGCTGCTGAGTGAAACTGACATTGAGTTGTGAAGTGTGATTAGAGAGAGTGCAAGAGAAGCACTGTGAGTGATAGCAGAGCTGGACTATGCGATAGGGGAGCCTGCAGCGTGTGATAGGAGGTGCTGTCTGACTTCAGGTCGGGTGCTGGGCTCTTAAGGGCTGCTGAGGGAAGGGGATCGGCAGCACCAGGGCATCGTGAGTGCCAGACCTCATGGTGGCCTTGCTGACAGTCCCCTGGTGGTGGACTTTGTCCAGCAGAAGCTTCCAGCAGCACGTGGCTGTGCGTGGCTCTGCAGGGCAGCGCAGGAAGCAGGTGGGTGGGGGAGCTTCCTGCAGCTTGTGTTGTGAGATTGGAGACCGAAATACTGACAGATCCCTCACCCCCAGAGCTGCCTCTTCCACTCCAGCCTTTTTCAATATGGAAACAGAGAAGAACAGCTTTGATTTTTTTAATAAATTATAATTATTTTATTTGCAAGCATCCCCGCACAGCACAGGGCTGACATCCCATCCTGCAGGAATGGCTGTTAGTGCTCCCATGGCCAGGTTGGTAACACCACATCCAAACCCGCTGTGTGGGGCCCTCTTTCACCTCTGCTTTGTTCCACTCTGGACCTGAATAATGCAGGGCTGTAAGCTGATCCTGGACACCTCTCGGGTTTCCTGCAGAGCTCAGAGAGGCTGCAGCTGCAGCACTGTGGGGCTGCTGCTCTGCTGGGTCCCCTCAGGCCTGGCCTGGCTCCTCCATGCATGCAGCCTGGGTGTCCCACGGTGCAAAATGCAATGAGGATAAGGCTGGGCTGCAGGCTCTCGGGGTGCTTGGATGCTGCACATTGAGCCCAAGCAGCCTTTGAGATTCACGGAATCATTCTGGTTGGAAAAAAAACCTCTGAGAACCCCAGGTCCAACCCCTCTGTGCCCGCTGACCACATCCCACAGTGCCGTATCTCAGCATCTCTGAACACCTCTGGGGATGCTGATTCCCACCTCCCTGAGCAGCCCTGCCACCGCATCACTGCGGTGTTAGAAATGGTTCCTAGGCTCCAACATCACCAAAGCAGGGATGGGGTTGGACTGGGAAGGGCTGTCGGACAGCCGCCCCTTTCTGCTGCTCTACTGCACTCCCCGGTGCAGCCCAAGCTCCGTTCCCCGCTTCCTCCCACCGGGGCAGGAAGCACTGAGCCCCGGTTCCTTCCTGTGTCGGGACGGGGCTGCAGAGGGAAGGGCTGAGCCGCGTCCTGCAGCTCGTGGCTGAGCGGCCCAGGGCCCCCTGAGCTGAGAAGCAGGGCCTGGCCGAAGGTAGGGAGCACCGCGGCAGCGTAAGGGAAGTGGGAACGGAGCGGGTGGGGAGGGCAAAGCCTTCCCTGCAGTTCGGCAGTGGGGCACATCTGCTGTGCCCTGTGCTGCCCCACGCTTTGGGCGTGCAGGAAGATGGGGGGATGGGGGATCGCGGTGCTACCTGCTCTGCCTGGCCGAGGTGCAGCTGCAGCTCAGCAGCCATGTGGCTCCCGGCCACGAACGGGAGCAGAAAAGCAGCCCAGCTCTGTGTCCCCGTGCTCCTGACCTGCACTCACTGGGACCCCCATCGGTGCTACTTGTGAGCAGATCTGCAAAGCGGTTTGTGGTGTGGGAGCCCTGGGGGTCCTCCAGTGGGGTCCCCATCCCAGGGAAGGCCAGCGGCGCCCATTCCCAGCTGCTGGCTTACCTGGCCAGCGGACGCTCCTCCTCTGCAGGAGGCAGGAGAGGCCGGGGTGGGGCTTTGAGAGCCAGATATCGGAGCCCAGTGGGGACGCTGCCAGGGCCCAGCACCCCACGAGCACACAGCCGCCCGATACACCTGTAAGTCTGTGCTGCCTGGGTGGGATGGGCGCCGCATGTGAGCTTTGGCCCTTGGCTGCATGGGGAAGGGTGTGTGAGGAGCCTGGGGAGGAGAGCAAAGGGTTGGGGCTTGGATCACAGTCACGTTCCTGCCGCGCTGCCCATGAAGAGCTCTCTGTGCTGCACTGACTTAAAGCTTTGGTTTGGGGTCCTGGGTGGAGAAATGTGGTTTTTTCCTTCCTTCCTCTTTATGGGTTGAACTTTGTGCCGGGAGATGCATGGTGTGCAGGGCAGGGCTGGCTGCCAGGCAGCCCTGAGCGGTCGGGATTGCTCACCCCAGGGCACAGTGCTGCCCTGATTTTTCATTTCCTCTGCTCCAGCTGTGTGAAACCACGTTTGTCTCTGCTCTGCAGGCTGAGCCCCAGCCGCTCCGCTCCCAGCACCGCAGGCAGCCCCTGCAGCAGCAAGGCCGTGGCGTTTCCTCATTCTCCTTCCTCTTTGCTGTGGGACAGAGCCCACTTGGCCAGGGGGCTCCAAGCAGGTGGGAGCAACGTGTTGGACTCCTGGCAGCTGGCAATCCCCAGGGGGCAGCTCTTGGGGACGCCCCTGGCAGGGTGCTCTGCCCAACACAACCCCATGCTCAGGAGGAGCTCAGCAGTGCTTTGTTCCCCAGACCCAGACTGGCAGCCAGGGATCCCTCTGGCCATCCACATTACCACCATGAGCTGGCCAGTGCAGAGCAACTGCTCCCGGATGGGGAGAAAATGAAGTCGTCCCAAATAATGTGATGCAGCTGTGATCAGCTAAGATATCCGAGCTCCCAAGGACCCAACTCAAGAGAATGGGGTGTAAGAACAACCCTTCATGAACATCAGAGACCACTCTGCAGAGCTCCTGCAGCCTGGCTGGAGCAGACGTGATCCATCACACCCAGGACAGGCGAGCTCAGGGCAGCTCCATCTGATGTTATTGCTTATCTAGAATGAACGTGAGGTCAGCTCAGCTAGGGTAGCAACAGGTGCTGCACCGAGGGGACGTGCTGTGTGTCACCCCATTAAGGTGTTAACACCTCCCAGCAAAGGATTTCTGGACCAGAAAATGGATTTTCTCCTTAAAACAGTCTGTTTTACGCTTGTATTTCCCCATCAGTGCTGAATGAGGCTGTTTTCCCCAGCAGTTGATTGTATTTAGGAGTTCTGGGCAGCTCTCAGTTCTCACTGTGCTGCGAGAACATGTGGCTCCCAGATGCTTTCAGCTGAACACAGGTGCTGTGAGTTGGGATGCATGTGCTGCAGCTGCTCTGCAGGGCTGGGTGCTCACCTGCACTCTGCTTTCCCTCTTCTAGGGCAGACCCAGTTGCATTAATAATGGAAAAACCCCAGGTAAACTCAGGAGCCTTTTAGTCTCGTGCCACGCCTCTGCTGCAAGGAGAACTATCTCAAGGGCACTAATGTCTCTGTGAAGGTGACTTCAAGGCTTTCTTGTCCTCCTGAGTGAGGGACGTGGCTGTGCTGGGCTGTTGGCAGCTGCCTGGGTCAGCAATACTACCTGTGCTGCCTGTGGGGTGTGGGCAGGAGGGGATGTGCAGCGTGCAATAGGAAGCTGCAGTGTTGGAAGAGCTGCATGGCTTCTTGTGCCTGGTGGGTTTCTCCCAGCTGGGCTGTGTGCATCCCAGTGCCATCTTGCTGTCATCCTGCTGTCCCAGCATAGGGAAGGAGCTTTATCCTGGGCTGTGCTGTGCTCTGATGCATCTCTCTCCTGCAGGGCTCTCAGCAGGCCAGCCCAGTGCTATGCGGGTCTCCCTGAAGCGCTCCCTCACGGCTGTGTTTGCAGCCTCTTTCTTCCTCCTCCTCCTCCTCCTGCACAGGGCCAGCTGGCAGCAGCAGGATTTCCAGGTGAGTCCTGTGCTGGGGGAGTCCCCTCCTCTCTGCCCCACGTGGGCCTCAAACCCCAGCTCTGCTCCCTTCCTGCCCCACTGGGATCCCAACCTCTGGTTCTGATGCCTTCCTTGGCCCTGTATCACCCCCAAACTCCAGTTCTGCCTTCTCCCTTCCCTTTGGCTTCCTCCAGTCCAGGATCTGAGGAGGCAGATGCTGCCCCTTGGCTTACACGTGTTCAAGGCCCCAGGTTCTGACCAGTCCACCTTTGACTGCCATCCAGGTCGATTTTAGGGATCTACCTTCAGACACAGTCCTGAAGACACTGAAGCAAGGAGCCCTGCACATCCACCAGGACACAGACAGCCTCTCTGCACTCAACAACATCTCCTACCACCTCCTTGCTGGTTCCCCATCATCCCACAAAAGTGAGTGCCTCTGGGCCCTGTTTTGGGCTGGGCTCTGGGAGCTGCACCTCTGACCATCGTGGTCCTCCCCCATCACTGTTACTTTGGGTGCTCTCCACCCCAACCAGCCTTCTCTGCTCTGTCCAATTGGGGTGTGGGGTGACCACAGCCATTTTGGATTTCCCAGATTTCTGGACGAGATCCATCTGCCTGGGGGTGGTTTTCCTGCTTTCCCAGTGGGGAGCTGGATCTTCTGACTTTGGATGCAGGGCCATAAATGAGCATTATCTGTGCAGGTTGGCCATGGGGAGAGCTTTTTGGAGACCCCTTACACATGGGAGAATGTCACTGTGGTGCATCCGTACTCAGCCTGTGAATGCCTTTGCTTTGCCTTGCAGAGTTCTTGGCTGTGGGACTGTCATCAGTGCAACGACCACGTGGCTATTACCTCCGAGACACGCTGCAGTCCCTCTTCAAGCAGTCATCAGAAGAGGAGCTGCAGGAGATGGTGGTGGTGGTGCACCTGGCCGATGCAAACCCCAGATGGAACGCCCACGTGGCCGCTGACATCAGCCAAAGGTTCTCTCACCACATCCTCCTGGGCCGGCTCGTGCTTATCCACACTCCCCATGAGTTTTACCCGACCCTGGAAGGCCTCAAGAGAAACTACAACGACCCAGAGGCGCGGGTGAAGTTCAGGTCCAAGCAGAACGTGGATTACGCCTACCTCGTCACCTTTGCTGCCAACCTCTCCTCCTACTACCTGATGATTGAGGATGACGTGTTGTCTGCCAAGTCCTTCTTCACCGCCATCCGCAAAGCCGTGGCCTCCCAGGAAGGCTCCAACTGGGCCACCCTTGAGTTCTCCAAGCTGGGCTACATCGGTAAGCTCTACCGCTCCACTGACCTTCCTCGCTTGGCTCGCTTCCTCCTCCTCTTCTACCAGGAGATGCCCTGTGATTGGCTGCTGGACCACTTCCGCCTCCTGCTTACCCAGAAGGACGTGATCCGCTTCAAGCCCTCCCTCTTCCAGCACATGGGCCTCTACTCCTCCTTCCAAGGTAGTGTCAACCGACTGGAGGATGACGAGTTCGAGGCCGATGCCATGGACCTTCCGGACAACCCACCAGCAGCCGTGTTCACCAACATGCTTGTCTTTGAGAACTATGAGCCCTCCAAGGCTTACAGCACAGCAGAGGGATATTTCTGGGGGAAAAACCCAGCCGTGGGCAGCATCTTCTGCATCGTCTTCCACCAACCAGCCCGTGTTACCCGTGTCCGGGTGAAGACGGGCTCCAATGAGCGCCATGGGGACTTCCTGCGTGCAGGGGTTCTGGAGCTGGGCCAGAGGCGGCGGGCTGATGGCCGGGACTGCTCTGTGTACACCACTGTGGGCACCTTTGAGAAAGGGAACTTAGAACGGCGGGGGCTGGAGAAGGGAGCACCCAACCCTGTGGAGTGTGTGAGGATCCGGGTCACCCAGAGCCAGAGTGAGTGGCTCATCATCCAGAGCATCGATATCTGGACTGCAGGCACCTGAGCAGGGCTGTGATGGGTCACCACAGTGGTTGGATTTTGCTCTAAGAAGAGGTTTATTTTTCTCAGTCCTTTTTTTGATTTAAAGGAGAATTAAATTATTCAGCCAAGCTGGTCCTACCTGCTGAATGTAGAGGGGTGGCAGGGCAACTGTGGGGTCTGCTTCCTGCAGGAAGATGGATGGGGGATGCTGCAGAGAGCAGTGCCCAGCCCTACAGCCCATCAATATGGGGAGAGTGACGGACACGCAGCTCTGCAAGCTCTTTGTGTCCTGGTGGAGTGCCACTTTCCCTGCTCTGAGCAGCAGGGTCCTGCTTCCTTTGTTCCCTGGTGTCCTTCTTGGTACCTCCTTAGGCCCTGACTCAGCTAATTAACTAACAGCAGTGAGGCTATTAGCCAGGCAACAGCATTTTTTGCAACTTCTCAACACCACCCCATCCTCAGTTGTCTAACCCTTACCTCCTGACTTTCTATCACACTGCTGTTATTCTCTTATCCTGTTTTCAAGCTATTTCTGCAAGTCCCCTGAGCAGCACCCCATATGGGAAGCCAGGAGTCCAGGCACTGCCTGCAGGAGCCTCTGGTATCGCTGATTTCTGTGCTGCTGGGAGGGGCAGCAGCCACCAGATGGACCCACAGCACCGGCTCAGTCCTTGCAGGGCGCCCGGGGCAGCTCTGATGTTCAGACCCGGCAGGGAGATTTCTGGGTAGATTTCAGGCCAGCGAGGTGCTGAACGCTGAGCTCCAGGCCCTGCAGCAGCCACCCGCCCCTCAGTGCTGCAGGGACATGGCTTCGCCCTGAAAAAAGTCAGCCACGTAGAAGGTCTTTGTCTGCATTTAATACAAAGATGCTACACGATAAACTCCAGCACCTTCCTGACGTTCTAAGGGTTCCAGCCAAAGCACAGTCAGAGGTCTTGGGAATTTTGAGGAACACAAAGGTGACCTTCCCAGGGCTACGATCCCAGACCATAGAATGACTTGGGTTAGAAGATACCTTAAACATCATCTAGTTCCAGCTCCAAAAAAGAAAGATCTTTATCCATTGAATAGCTCAGCTTTCAAACCCATACCTCTCCATTTCAGAGATAAGGTGTGCTCCAGCAAAGCCAGTGCCCCACTTCTCTTGGACACAATGCCTTTCATGCACTGTGTGAACGTCAAGGGTTACAAGCAGGGTTGCAAACCAAAAGCTTTCTCCCCAGTGTATTTTTATCTGCTGCTAAAGGAGGTAAACAGAGATAGAAGTATAAATCAGCATACCTGTTCTTTTACTTGTTTATCTACTGATCAGCTCTGTGCAGCTCTCCTGCACAGAAGCAAACTGCAGTCTCTGTTACGCTGGCGTAAATCCGGAGAAACTCCACTGAATAACATGGACATGCACTCAGGTTACACCAGAGTAAGTGCAAGCAGCAGCTGACCAGCAGCAGGGATCCCACATGCAGTGCACGTGTGTCACGCTTTGGAGTTCCCAATTAACATCAGTGCAAACGAGAGATGGAGGTGGCTTCTTTATCCTGGAGCAGCACCATATAATTTAGCCTACAAAAACGATCCCGTTACTTTTCTCCCACTAAACTCCACACCAAGACTCTCTAACACAGGGCTGATGTCAACCCCAGCAAGCAGTGACTGCGGCATCGTGCCGGTGGCACAGCGCCCTGGAGCTGCAGCCCCCACTGACCCACGCACTGGGGTGGCAGAGCTGTGTGTGGCCGTTTACATGCAGCCAGGGGCCAGCTGTCAGTGCAGGTCTCAGCCTATGGGCTGATGTACAGGGCAAGGGGACAAAAACCAGGGACAAGCACTGTGGCCTGCCCCTCTCTACAAAAGGGTAAATCGGAGAGGGTTAGAGCTTCCAGGCCAACACCACGGCTGTCCTGAAGGATGGCTTGATGTCTGTCTCTACCTGCTGAGCTACCCGGGCTCCTGGTGCTGCACTGCTGCTCCTCTAGCTCAGCATCTTGTGCCGGTCAAAAACTGTCTTCCTCTGCTCCTGCACCTGGCGCTTCCAGCGCTGCTGGGCTCCCTCCACCCTCTCCAGCACCGTGTTGGCTCTGGCCCCTGATGGGGTTGGGGCTGCAGCCAAGGAGCGAGAGTCCTGTAAAGAAACAGTGGACGAGGTCAAAGCAAGGCACGCTCAACCCAAACACAGAGGGAACGAGTGTGAGGTCACACTGCTCCCGTCAGCCATTCTCTTGTGTCCTCACTGCCCTGTCCCTCCCACAACGGCAGCCACCCGTCTGCACAGCCTCACCTCGTTCTCCTCCTCATTGTGCAGGGGCTGTGTGTAAGCATCTGGTTTTCGGATCAGAGGGTCCACCAGTACAAGGAAAGCCATGTAGAGCAGCAGTGCCCCCACCACGGACAAATAAATGATGATAATGACCTGCAGTTAAGCACAGCATGGCAGAAAGGGTCAGTAGAGATCAGAAGTACCACAGAGGCCAGGAAGCTCCCTTCACAGATACCCCTGATGTCTGATCTCGTCCCTCATTTCAATGCTCACTAGAAAGTCTCTTGCATTTCTTAAGGAAGACTGGTCTTCTCTGCAGCATCAATTGAAACTTGTGCTGCACGTGACAGGAGACCAACAGGATGGGTTCCCAACACGAGGTACTTTGGCACAATCTCAGCAAGGAGACAGGTCTCCCGTGGTGCCTCCTCCTCAGTGCCAGGAGCGCTCCAGACTCCAACACGGCGCTCTGGTACTACCACTGTGTGCTAGCCATGCTTGCTTTGTCCTCCCTTTCTGGGCTCTGCTCCAGAAGCCCAGCCTGTCAAGCTGTGCCTGGGATGGCACAGAACCACAGGGAGCTGACCCACAATTACCTTGATGGTGGTGGTGCTGCGCTCCTCGTACTTGCACTCACACAGCAGGCAATACGCCTCCACATCATTCCCAGGCACTGGCATGGGCTCCACAACATGCAGGCAGTTGCTGCAATGCAAAGAAACCAAAATCAGCAACAGGACGAGAAGAAACCGGTGCTCTGTGGAAGGATGCTGTGGTGACTTTGCCCCAGCTTTCACACTGGGCTGATAACGCTGACTGGAGTTCCCACCACAGCTTAGCTAGCCTGAAGTTCCTGGGACAGATTTGCTGAAGCACCTTCTGCAGGGATAACGTCCAGGTGAAGGGGGCTGAAGGGCATGACCTACATCTACACCCCTCACCTGGGCTGAGCCTACAGAAACAGCTTGCTTTACACATTCACAGGCAGCAAATCACTCCCAGAGTGCTGACTTCCACACATCAACCCTTCAGGCTTCAACGTGCAACTCACCAGTCCTTCTGTGACACATTCTTGTTGTAAATGTGCCCGCTGATGTTCCGGTACGGGGGACAGATGCATTTGCAGCGAATGTCCTCTGAGCTCTGCAGGAACACAAAGAACAAGCATTAGTGAGCCAACACAGGGCTACAGCTCTGCTGCCCTCACCACATAGGGTTGTGGGAGCAGAACACTCCCTAAGACAGAGATGACTTCATGCCACATCTCTCATTTCTCTTATTTCTCCTCTCCAGAGGCGCTTTCAGATGTATTGCAAAACACAGACTGGAAACCACAACCAAAGTCAGGGCAGAGGCCTCCATCACACGCATTCACAGCCCTTCATGTTACAGATACACACGGACCTGCTGCAGTCTGCAATTTGCCTGTAGGAGAACACTTGCTTCTCTGCCATTTTGGTGCCTGCTGTACCACACTCAGCGGCTGAAGCTGTTCACTCACCTTGCCAGCCTGTGCTGGAGGAGAAAGGCCGCAGCTCAGCAGTGCGATCAGCAGCACGGAGGTTGCACACTTCCAGGTGCACTGGGCAAACATTGCGGAGGCCTGAGGAAACAGAAATTCCTATACAGGACACAGAATCTTCCGCTTAAGGTTAATTTCTTCCTGTATCACGATGCATTCCTACACGAAACTCCAGGACACAGCTCACACACCCCAAAAAATCCCTGTCCAAAGAGCTTCCGCCACCCGGAGCTAAACCATCAAACTAAACATCGCTCACAGCCGGCATCGCAGCTCCTCAGCAGCGCGGATCAAATCACCGCACAGCTGCATTTGCAGCGATCCAACGCGACGCGAGCTCTATCTGCACACGCATCGACCCCACAGCCCTCCCGACCTCCACGCCCGATCCCCCCCCCCCCCCCCCCGCCCCGCTCCTCACAGCGCAGCCCCGCTCCGTCCATCCAGGCTGCGGCCCGCCGACCGATCCGACCGGCGCCGCCCCCGGCCCTACCTGCCGCGCGACGCCGGCGCCCCTGCGAGCCCCGCCCCAGCCCTGCGCGCCCATTGGTTGCAGCGTGACAGGCAGAGCGTTCTGCCAATCGGAAACCAGGGCAGCCCGCCGCGCTCTGATGAGAAGGGCCGCGCCTCACTGCTGCCCCTCAGTGTGAGGGAGGTGCGGTGCGGTGCACGGAGGTGTGGTGCTCGTGCTGTGTTGAACCGGGGAGGGAAAAGCTCCACCGCAGCAGGGCAGCAGCTCGGGCTGTTTTACCTTTACGAGTCACGTTTAGCATCCTCTAGCTCGAGGGCGCGGGTCGGCAGCGTCCTGTGTTAGAAGCCTCAGTGCTGTGTTTCCCAGGGCCGCCTTCCTCGTGTTCGAAGGGGGCGTTCTGCGGGCCCGGCTCTGCAGCGCGCGGGGCGCTGAGCTGTGTGGGGCTCTGGGGTTTGCTGCGTGAAATCGGGAGCCCACGGTGAGATACATTCAACTGAAGTGCGCATAAACGGGGAATGAGGTGTGAGGTGCCACGGCTGGGGGGAGGTTTGCTTCTGTGAGTGAGCTGAGGCCCTCGTGAGGCTTGTAGAACACGGGTTGTGGAGACCGGGTTCTGTATTGCACCCAGGTGTGGGAATTCCTGGTACAAGGGGTTTGCTCACCCAGCAGTGCCACGTGTGAGGTGCTGCCCTCATGTGCTCTGTTCCCCACGCGCTCAGCTGGGGTCCATTACGGGCTCACAGCCTGCTCCAGCTGGGCTGACCCAAGGCAGTGTTCCCTCTGAATAATCCTGGCTGTTAGGTGCACGGCAGACTCCTCATTCCTGACTCCTCATTCCTTCCTCCTACTCCAGTGCTGCCAAGCGG